TTGAGGAGGAATCAGCACACTTGCACCGTGTGAAAGGGTAGTTGTATTTTATCCAACTAATTTAGCCATGGGATTGTTATTCAGAGTTTATATTGCAGTGAGAGACTCTTCTTCTTAACCCAAAATTAATTGTCACCCATCTTACACCTGTCTGAGACTGACATAACGCTAACTGGCAGCTCGCTAACGCCTCGAATGGTTGCCGTGCTTTTGAACTCTGCAATGCATTTCTCACTTGTTGCACCTTGTGCTGTTCCTCCTGGGCACCAGGAGTATTCATAGCATCCTGTGCAAAAACACAGAGGAAAACCTTGAGTGCTACATTAGGCACAGGTATCTAGCCCAAGCCTCTTGACAATGTGTTAGCTGAATAAAGCTTAGGCTGTTTGTTTTGCGTAATAGCTATTTTTGCAGTCAGAGTGGGAAAGAGTTCTTTAGTTCTGAGTACTGGTTAATGGGATCAGTGGAATGCTACTTATGCATTTCACATGGAAGAAGGAATAGAGTTACACGCAGACCTCAGACAAAAAGCAGGGTTTTCCCTGACTGTGAGCCGACCATTACAGATGCGTATGTTGTAGCTAAGCTGGGGATGAAAGCTAAGAGGAAGAATTAAAGAATATTCAAATGCCCTAGTTTGGGAAACAGCATAACACCTATTTATATAACCAGTCCCAATTCCAGCATCCTTTGTTCGGGAAATTCTGTTTGCCACAGTCAATTGCTCAACTACCACCAAGTGAGGTGGGTGCTGGAGCACCTCAGCTTCAAGAGAGATTGTTTATGCTGTCAGCAGCTGATCACACCATAAAGCAAAGTAACTGCTGAGGTTTTGTTGCTCTTAGCTTCAGATAATATTTACATAAATTAACAAGGAATGTCTTCAGATACTTTGTAGAGCTGGGGAGGAAAGAAAGGCCTCTAAGTCTGTGTGGATGTGGGATTGGAACATAGGCATCCTACAGGCATGTTGTTTTGCTGCAGAAACGGACATGGCTCCAAAAAGGGTCTTATTTTCCAAAATTGAATTTCTGTTTCTAACCCAGTTATCCTGAGGTTTCTTGGACTGATTTCATGACAACAGTTAAACAAAATCTAACTCCTTTAAATCACTTATTACATTTCATTATTTGAAATAATGAGTGTAGGTGGTTCTGTTTGGAGGCATGTGGGAATCCAACCAGGAATAAAACCCTTGTAACACAGCCATTAGCTGTGGCATACCTATTGCACGGCCAAAATGTAACCCCCGTGACAAAGTGATATATGCATAAATGGTAGACCTGTTTTGTGTGTGTCATACCAGTTCTTAAGAAAATACCACTTCTGACTCCGTCAGAGATAAACAATTTTAATCCATCCCAGTCACAGTTGCCCCGAAGGAGATACTAAGGCTTTCTTTGCATATTATGAAGAAAAGTAAGTCAAGATAATTAAATTATGTATTATTTTCTGATCGTAATAAGCATATTTCCAGAAAAAGTAAAAGAGTTGGGCTAAGATACAAAATGAGTAGGAAGAAATGCAAGTGAGATTTACCAAATACCTACGTAAATTAGAATTAATGCACTGAACAGATTCAGTTTAACAAGAGTGGGCTGATTTGAGAAACTGATTATGATTTGAATATTAATTTTTAAGGACAGAGAGATAATCTAAAAGCATCCAGAGATGTGTGTTTTTGTACACATCATAACATTTTAACTCATGACTAAGTTATTACAGGAAGACATTTCCATATATTGCCTGCATTTAGGTGTCTGTCTAGATGAATGGCTTTTTTTTTTTTTAAACTGAAAGACAACCTATTTGAAATACATTTGCATTCACTATAGGTTTAAGGGAAGCTTTCTATATCAAGATCCATGCCATTTCATATTTTTAGATTGAAGGACCTTTTTCAATAGGCTAATAGTCAATGGTAAGATCTTCATTAACTTATCAGGGTAATACCTGTTTTTAAGTAATTCACTTAAGTAAGGCCCATTGAAAGCATTCCACAATCAATTTCAAGAATAGTTTGTCAACCCTGAATGATAAGAATGGGAAATTGTAACAAAAGAAGCCTGAAAATCTTTACTCATAATACAGGAAGTCCTTCAATATTAATCGATGAGATGGCTACACTTGAGTTATCTTAATGGTATCACATCCTGATGTCTTCCATTAAAACCATTATAAAATTTAGGAGCTGACAGTTTGAATCTTAGTGGGGGGAAGAAATGCAGCTGAGACAGACGAAAAACTGAAAGAGTTCAAGACATAGTCGTGAGAAAAATAAAAGCTCTCTTTCTTGTGAGGGTCGTAAAATATTTTTGCTCTTCCAAGAAGCACGTACAAATTATTTGAGGATGTATACAAAGAATGATTCATGTTGAGCTTAGTGAACAGCAAAATGGTTATGGAAGAGGCAGGAGCTTAGAGACATTTGTACAGGAAATACAAAGCCCAGAGCAGGATAAAAATACTCCAAGGTTGCAAGGAAGGTAAGGACTGTGTAGGACAGGCACTCCACACTGAAAGCACCTGGTTCTATATTTTCATAAGAAATCCTGGGTTCTATAAAGTCAGTGACAAAGCCTCCCTGGATCACCAAGACTTCCTGGTCTGTCTCATTTACTTGCTTTACTGGGAATCCATTTGTGTATTGGGCAGTGCTTATGTGGTTCTTTCTAAATGCTTTCTCCTAAACCTTTTGCCTCTTCCCTGAAGGAGTAGAAATCCATATATTCATGTTTTCCAGTGCCAAAGTGGGGGGCGGGGGGTTGAGGAGTTTAAATAGTACACTTACCTTCTGAGCCACTTCCACTGATTTTCCAGATGGATGTTAACACAGAACTATCTTAGAGAAGCCACCAAACTCCAGATGGAGTGCTTGGAGTGACAATAATCTAGATGCCTAGTCATTATTAGTCTAGATGTCTAAAATATAATATTGATATTACATTTCAAATGCTATTAACCTTTATTTAGCCTAGATGGCTAAAACATGACATTGATATTATATTTTAAATGTTATTAACAGTTATTCTAGAGAAAAATTCGAGCAGATACGTTTCAGTTGCAATATTTGTCTCTTTATATACAGAACAAATGTATTTCACAGTTTGTTTCCAACTTTTCTGCTCAATTATTATGTATAAATATTAATACACTTTTAAATACAGTACTAAGGAAACTATACTTATGTATCAATACCATAAAGTGATACCAATGAAGTGACAGATCAGAAGAAAAGGTTAAAAACATCTGTATATATATAATTCTATAGAGCATTTCCTAAAATTTTGAAAATGGTGATTAGGCCACCTTTGGTAGACTGCTGCTAACCCTTCAGTGACCATCCTAGTTTTCAAAATGTTTGTCCATTAAGTGAATGAAAAGCACACACTGCTGACCACACTGAACATGGGAGTTCAACTTTGGAGTAGACCAAATAAGGCGGAGTAGTTTCAATATCAAAACTTGTGTGGCAACGTCCAGAAAACTGCAACCTCAGTACGTGGCTCTGCCATCAGTTGCCCTCCGGCTGCTGTAAAGAACTGTTCTTTTGTTGTAGGTGTCTGGCGGTTTTTTTTTCTTTAGCGACTCTCTTTAGAAACAACAGCAACAAAATGTTGCCAGTTGTTAGTTGTCGGATAGCATCAGGGTTGGAGAACATCTTCTGTCCTGAGCCCTGGTCTTCTCCTGGGATTTGGTGGGATCCGTCTCGGAAGGTGTCTCCTCCTCCCCCCGCACACGCACACCCCTCGGCGCTCCCCGCACACATGTCTTTTCTGACACACAGCACCAGCCTATTGGATTGCTACCACAGGATGGGTTCAGGCGCTTCGCCCACACCCCACACCCCCGCCCATTCTCTCTTCTTGTTCTTTTCTTGCCTTTTTCCTTCCTTTCCTAATCTCCGCTTGCCGTAGCATACACCCTCCCGAGGGGTTTGCCTGGATCATTTATTTATCTTGTGCGCATTAAGAAGCCACCATTAGGTTTTGGTGGGAGGCGCCTTACTTTGTGCGCGCTAGCCTGCCTCCGCGGCGCTGCCAGAGGAATACACAATCGAACCGAAGCTGCAAGCTTGGCAGGAGCTGCCTCTGCGTGCCCATTTATTTGCCGGATCCGTATTTTTTATTTATTTTTTTTTTCCGACTGGGTCATTGCCGCTCCCCTCCAGGGTTTCATTTTTTTTTTTTTTTTTTTTTTTTGCGTGTGTGGATTATTAATTTTTTATTATTTTTTTTTTCGGGAATCCTCGCCGGAGTTTTGATGCCGGGCCGGACTTAGCGCGGGCGCGGAGGAGCTGCGCGGAGCCGTGCCTCCTTGCCCCGGGCCCCGCCCGCGGATCGGCCTCCCTGGCCCGGCGCCGGCCGCGGGTTGGCCGCGGGGCCGCGGAGTGGCGGGTGCGCTGCGCCGCCGCCTCCCCGCGGAGCCGCCGAGGGATGCTGCTGCACCGCGGCCGGGCATAGGCAGGAGCCGAGCGGGCGGGGGAGGGAGCGCAGGGAAGGAAGGAAAGAAGGAAGGAAGGAAAGAAAGACGGAAAGAAAGGATTCCCCCACCTCAGCCCCCGAGGGGAGAGGAAAAAAAAGAGGAGAGGCGAGAAGGTGCGTGAATGTGAAGGAATGTACCTGCTCGCCGCCGGAGCCGCGCGATTGGGATAAAAAAGAGATAAACCGAGGCTGATCCTTGCGACTTATTACCCGGAAAAAAAAAAAAAAAAAGAAAAGCCTTAGAGCGGAGGGACAAGAAGAAGAGCGACGAGGCTGCAGCGAGCAGCGCTAGAGGAGGGCGCCCGGCGGATGGCGCGGCCGTCCCGCTGACTCCGCGGCCGCGGGAGGCTGCGCGGGGCGGCGCGGCGCGGGGCATGCCGTGCCGGCGGCGTGACTGAGCGGGGCGCTCCCGCCGCCCGCTCCGCTCCGCACCGCGCTCCCCTCCGCCGCATGCCGCCGGCAGCCGCGGCGCGCTGATGCCCCGGGGCCGCGGCGGCGCTGCGGACGGCCCCTAGGATGAGCGAGGGGGCTGCCGGCGCCGCGGCGCCCGGGGCGGCGGAGGCGGCGGCTGCGGCGGGGGGCCCGGGCGGGGATGGGGCCGGGGGGCCGCCGCGGGAGCTGCGCTGCAGCGACTGCATCGTCTGGAACCGGCAGCAGACGTGGTTGTGCGTGGTACCCCTCTTCATCGGCTTCATCGGTCTGGGGCTCAGCCTCATGCTGCTCAAGTGGATCGTGGTGGGCTCCGTCAAGGAGTACGTCCCCACCGAGCTGATGGACGCCAAGGGCGTGGGGCAGGACCCCTTCTTCCTTTCCAAGCCCACCGCTCCCCCCCGCGGCGCGGAGACCACCGCCGCGGCCACGCCGCGGCCGCCCAGCCGTGTCAGCCCCCGCCTCACCACCATGAGCCGGGCGCCCCCGCGGCCCCCCGGCACCCGCGGCCCGGCGCGGGGCGGCCCGCGGCCCACGGCCCCCCGGCACCCCGTGTCGCCGCACACGGCGCCGCCCGCCAGCGGCCCCCCCGGCACCCCCGGCCGCGGCGCCCGGCCACCGCCCGCCGCCCCCAGCACCCCGCCGCTGCCCGCCTGGCCCACTGCGGCACACGCTACCTCCTCCTACAAGATCTACGTCCACGACTCGGCGCCGTCCTGGACCTTGTCTCCCTTCCAGGAGTCGACCACCACCACGCCGGAGGCCAGCACGACCCCCAAAACCCGTAAGTGATGCCGCCCGCCCGCGCCCTCGGGCCGCCCGGAGCGCGCGTCGCCCCGTCCGGACCCGGTGTCGGCCGAGCGGCGGCGGGGTCGGGTCGGTCCGGGGCGAGGCGCTGGTCGGGCGCGGCTGCCGTGTCGCTCTCGTGCGGTTGCTGCCCTGCGGGAGGGAGGCCGGAGAGCTGCGAAGTTTGCGCTTTTTTCTCCCTCCCCCGCTTGCGCCCCCACTCCCCCGGCAAGTTCCCTGCTTTTGTGATGGATGTTGAGGCAGGAGCAGCCATTTGAGGCGACTGGTTTTTCTTGTGCTTTTTAGGAAAGATGCAGATCCCCCCCCCCTTTTCCCTTCCAGACTGGTCTGCGAAAGGTATTTAGGAGATGCTGGGAGGTATCTGAGCGAGAGGGATCGCTGATGACAGACCCAGAAGGGGCAGCGGGGAGAGTGGTTCTCGGGAGGTGCGGAGTGCGTTGTGCATGTGCTCGTCTGCTGGTGAGGGAGTTTGGTTGCCCGCACACTCGTCTCCCTTGAAAGAGAGGAGAGCGGGCTCCGCCGGATGCTCCCTCCGTCCCAGCGCCCGGCTTCTGAAGGAGCTGCCGCCAGCTCTGGCAGGAAGGAGCCCAGGGCACCCCGCGGATATGCAGACGCAGCCCAGCGCTTTACCGGCTCCCATGTGTAGCCTCAACACCGTCTTGCCGTAACTGACTATTTTTTTTTTAAGCAGAGGAGGGGGCTAGTTCTCCGGCTGATGCTTGGTGACTGGTTCTTTCCGCCCTCCCAAGCACAAACTTAAGGATTCGGGCTAAATCCGAAAATTCATTTGGTCTCTGTGTATCAACTTTCAGCTTCTCATAAAGGTTACTTAGGACAAATGCAATCCTTGCCAGAAGAACTTCTTTGTGGTGCTATTTAGTGAAATGCTCAATTATACTGTGTTATAGTAATCTTCTGCTTTTTCTTGGATGCAGCAGAGGAAATGAAAAGCCGGGTGTCCTCCATTAACTCTTAGTTGCTGCTGCTAGGAACATCAGTTCAACTGAATGCTACCACCTGATCACTTCTACAGCCTAGCGTTCCCCTTTTGCGTGCTAATGTATGGCTATTCTGCCGGAGGATTTTGTTAGCAAGTAATCTGAACTTTATTTTGTCTATTAAATCTATTTGCTGATTAGCACTGGGGCAGAGAGTACAGGCAAAGCGAGCTGATCTTGTGAATTGACAAAATCGGGAGAAGAACAGCAAATTGGATATGAATGTGTGGGTGGGTGTGCAGGTGGCGGATGGCTGGGAATGATTACGAATAAAACTATCACTGAATCAGAAGAGCAAACAAGGCAGTAACTCGTTTCTCCTGTGTCTGCTACGGTAACTGACAGAAGCATCCCTTACAGGTGTGTCTGAGCCTGCATGTTCTGGAGGTACAACCTACAGAAGTCAGAAGTTACCAGAAGGAAAATCTTTTGTGGAGCTGAACCCAACCCATTTCACTGAGGACTAGGGAGCTGTATAGGGCACTTAGAAGCAAAACAGCAAAGGAAGCTAGATTTTTGACCTGTGTTTCTGTTTTCAGTCCTTGTGTGAACCAGATATGTTACGTGGTGCTTCAAACTGCCGTGACCTGTGTGCGTGTGCCTGGGCTTGCCAGGTGGGATCTGTCAGGGTCTAAGTGCTCCCTTGCAATTTCTTCCTTTTTCCTCTTTCTCTCTTTTTGGGTATGTAAGAGAAATCCACAGGAATTTCTGCCCTTCTATGCTGTCTCCTTACAAAGTCTAGAAGGCAGGAATATCCTGATTAATAAATAATGTTCAGCTGGCAGGACTCTCCTCCATACAAGACACACCAAGGAAGAAGAAAAACCACAATCTTGAAATGTTCCTGGCAGTTGCAGAGCCTCCTAACTATTTTTTGTTTTAGGGAGACTGCTAATACCTTTTACAGCAGGGTGTTTCCCTTCATTAAATGGAGCTCAGTTATAGGATGGAAATGCAAGAACTGCAAATCCAGCAGAAATTGACCCTGTTTGGGCACATTGATAGCAGAGATTATCATTAATGGAAGATTAAATAGATTACATAAAAAAGGATTTGAATTTGTAGGGCATGTGAACATTTTTTTAAAGCCTACAGCTGTACTCTCCAAATACATATAAGCATCTCTGAGGATACATGTAAAATTCTTTGAGGCTGCAGTATCCACTGGAGGGGAGAGGGAGGAGAAATGCAATCTTTTTGCTGTGAACTGCTGACATGGTGTGACCCCAAAGCAAGTATCTGCATCTGCCACTAACAGCTCTTAGTAAGAAAGGGAATTTTTAAAATCAAATTCATCCTAATTTCCCAGGTTGAGCTGCATGTTCCTTCTGTGCCTGTTGCTCCAGCTGCTATTGAAATGAAAGTCATGGATCCTGTTGTACCACGTGAATACAAAATCTGACATGATGAATCTCATGCCCCAGCTTTCAAAATAGTGCATGCCCTTGTGTGATCCCCTGGCTTGGTAAGGCACATATGTGGGCAGGAGTCATAGGTTATTTAACATTTCACAGCTTTTAAGAAAAGCAGCTGCCTGTATTTATACTGATTTGTGTTGCAGTTTATTTAATTGTTTTAACATGTTAAATGGGCTCAAAATAGGATTTAGGAAAATGGAAGGCAAATCAGGAGTTATTTCTCCAGAAAGCTGTATGATTGCCCACCTGAATGAATGTTGGTAAAGCCTTTTCTCTGTGTGTGTATTCATCTGAGGAGATGTTGTGAAATCTCTCTTTTTTGTGGGTGTGCATAATGACAATAATTTTTGGTTGTGTTTCACTCAAAGTCAAGCTATCTGTTAGCTGTTTTGAAAGTTCTTGATGAAGATCCTTCAGGTTCTGACTAAGCAAAAGCCACTTACTCATCAAATCTCACTCTGTATCTTGTGCCTGCATGTGTTTTCCATGATCATATAAGACCTGTGGCTTGTCAGCATTAGCTTCTTCATCCAGTGCTCAGCATAAAAGTCAGTCACTGATTTAGAAGGGTAGGCCAGCCTGTACATCAGAAAAATCAACCAGCTGACTGGAATATACCAGTGAGGTTTTAATTTTATCAAGCCATTGGTTTCATTTTTAAAAAGTCATGCCCTGATTTTTCCAATATGCATTTTTCATGGTATTCTGGCTTCTTCAGTAATGTTATTATCTTTAAATTGAGATACTGGACTTATAAGAATTCCTGTGTGAATTCAGCTATGAAATAGCACTGTGGTTTCTCTCGTGTTCATATGACCAAAGGCTAATGCACAGAACTGAGGTCAGGCAGGTGGGGCTCAACTAATGCGTGGTAACCAAGAAAAGAGATGTTACAGAACACTCTAATCAATAAATCTTGTGAAGTCCAATCGCAACCTTTTTTTGAGTCCAGACTTCATCCTGAGTATGCTTTGATTTCCTGCTAAAGATTTTCTGGCCCAGCCGTTTGTCCTAGTCATGTCTCTGACTGTTTGTTATGCACGGCATGGGTTCAAGTAACAAGCATCTGGCAGATGCACAGCTACCAGCACTGACATTTTGGTAAAAGCTGTTTGTTTTATTTTGCACTGACTCAAATATCTTTTTCACATTAAGGATGACACTTAGATGGAACTGCGGGGTTTTCACCAACTGGAGGGTGTTGTGGGAGGTGCCAAACCGTAGTAAAACCAGACCTGCTCTTCCCAGAGCCCTAAAGTGTTCTGCCAACAAATGACACGGATCTGCGAACACTTCGCATTATGATCGTGAGCTGTCATTGAAATCGAGGGGAGCACACGTGACTGGAAAGCACGTGCCTTTAGCATTAACTAGGAATAATATGCCAGTTATGTATCAATTTTAAGTGTTTCAGAAACTGCTGAATTGAAAAAAAGATACTGAGGCAAACAACTGGGAGTTTTAGGAGCAATGGCTTCTTATTTCCACTTACTTGCTGTTCACATACCTTCTGTCAGCGTACCACAGAAATGATTAGATTTGTGCTTCCCATCTTAAATACTTGTCAACAGGAAGACTACCATCAAGATAAAAATAGCAGATACAGAATTGTAGCCACTCCACTGAAATGAAAATTACTGTAGTTGTATTTTATTTTTTCACATTTTACAGCTATAACTTGTTTCATCTGTTTCAATTAAGTTGGATGACACTGGACTTAATTCCATTTTCCATTTATAATCTTCTTTCTAGTTAGGGACTAGTGCAGTTATCACTGAATTCATAAAGAAGTGGAATATTCAAGTAAGTCCCACTCAGATATGTACATTGATTCTATTTGGATATATTTCTTCTCTGTTGCTTTTATTAAAGTATTCATTGAAATCCTGTGACCTAGGAAACTTTCATAGCACTGGCATGATGAGTGGAAGGGATATGGATGAAATTATTCCATGCTGATTTTTAATCCTGAAGAAAATTCTTTTGGGAACTGTATGGTTTCTCATTGATTTAACCTGTGATCACTGGTAAAAGCAAAGCCTTACATTTTATTTGGCATAAGTTTTTTGCATCTATACAAAGACATTATGTGATATATTATATGTTGACAACAGAATACCATTATTAAATTAAAGTATTGATTCATTGCAAAGTCTTATGCTGAAGTAATGTCAATCCCACAGAAGTAATGTCTAAACCCACAGAAAATGGAAATTAAAAATTAAAGCAAAAGACCTGTCTCTATCTACAGTATTGTGTCTAGTGTTGCAGTACATTTATCATCTGACTCATTGCTTTGAAACGTCCTGCAAAGCCCAGTAAATACATGGATTGCCATGGATTTGACCTTGACTGTATCTTTAAATTTTATAGCCCATTTGGCTTTCAGAAGTACCTATAACATACTGGTGTTAGCTTTTGCTGATTTCTGTTGTGACTTGTATGGAAACAAACAGCACAAGGAAAAGTACCTGGTAAAATCATGTGGGATGAGTTGGTCACTTTTGTTTTTTTCTGAGCCTGGTGGTTTCTTTTCGAGCTTCTTTTTGCTTTGAACAGCT